CTATTTTGAACAACTTATTTGGCAACAACAGCTCTTATCTTTAAGGAATTTGTTCCAAGAAAAAAAGATTTTCTGAACGAATTGAGTTGTATTATATTCAACTCTATAACAGAAACCGAAGAAAAATGTCATTATGATTCTTCCAACGTTCAATTTTAACAATACTAAATATATTTTCTTTAATGGAAGTCCCAAATTCACACGTACGACATTTTGGTTAGAAATATTCCTAGTGTGATTATATGACACTCAATTACATTTACCTTTTGTGAAATGACACAAACTCACGTCAACCAATTTCCGTTCGAAAAAAAAGTATACAATGGTCGAACGAGGAACACAGAAAGGCGAATCTAAGTGTAACCCTAATATATCGTCCTGGTATTTATGAAATATTGATTGTCGTGAGCAGAATGAAAATGAAATGGAAACGTGCATTTTTCAGAGAAATTCTTATGAGTAATACATGGGAAAAAAGCCATAATAATTACTTTTGCTGGGTCATGTCCACCCGTATTATTTGAAACATAATAATAATTACACACATTCCACTGGATAGTTATTTATAAATGAACTAGTTTTGTGTAGAAAATACACATATTGTGTGCTAGCATGCCAATTTCAATACGAACATTTAAAGTTGCAAGCAAAACTAAAACATGGTATTACATTTTATCTTTCCAAAGATCTGAATATCTTTCAATTGAAGATGTTCTTTCAAACATTCATTTGAATAAACACTTCAGGTTCTTTTGATGGAAATTGGTTTTTTCCGAGCTGCTAACTTTTCATAGCGAATTTCATTTCCGACTCAATCATTTCGTCATTATGCTCATACTTTTAAATGCATAGTGTGTGTTTGAACGGCGGATTCTGTTTGTGCATGAGAGAAACGTAAACATAGTTGCACTATATATTTTGATTACCTTTCCATGAATGCAGTGGGTGTACGTTCGTACAATTTTGTAAAACCGTAAATAAAACGAATGATGTCATACAAAATGCACTGTATGTCTTCGTTTCATGTTACGAAGTCCAAACAAAAAACTGAAAGAAAGTTTGCACATCGGCTTATTCGGGTTCAGTCCAGTCAGACAGTGTGTGTGTGTGTGTTTTTGATTTTTGGTTCAGTGAACTTTTTGCTTATTTGATTCCATGCCAACAATATTGTAATACGCTCCAAGAAAATGACGAATGCACAAATTACATTTTTCCGGTAATTCTCTGATATCGCAATCTATAGATATTCCTTTAATATATTGACGCTGATTAGAACATATTCTGTAACAGTCCAGTCAAATGGATTAAGCAGAACAGACAGACAAATGTCAAGTGTATGGAATGAAATAATCGATGCAGTTTTATTGCTTACGAACCCTTTACCACTTGTACACATTATCCAATTAAGACACTGTAACTCAATATGTGAGCATGGCATTGAAAATAATACGGATACATAGTTGCGAATGATTTGTAGTATGAGTTACTTCATCATCGATTAAATTTGCGCCAAGTGGAAGGACCTGCTCTGATGCGATAAGCTCGAAGACATAACAAACTCATAATTCGACGTAGTTTTGCTGTATAGATAAATTGTCTAAGACAATATATCGAACTCTCCATTGCACTTCGTCAATTTCTTTTCAATTTGGAATTCCTCGGTATGTAATCACATATTGTATTCGATTAATGCCCATTGTGCAAAAAAGATGCAGATAACAAGCGTATACAAAAATAGTGAACATTGTTTGGACGTGCAAAATTCAGCAAAAGACTTGAATATCGATTCAATTTATCTGCATTGTTTTATCATAATGTTGATGTTATTTTTGGAAGTTTGGCTTGTGTTTTATTTTTCATTCTCTACAATTCGTAGAAAACTCCCAATGTTGAATTCACATAAAATTATCTCTCCCATTCAAATGCAAAATTTATTTTTCACATTACTTGTTTTACGATTCAATTACCCGCTCTACATCCGTTCAGATATGCTTCACTGGAAATTAGTCAAGTATCGTATTGTGTGACGGCAATTTATAATAAACTCTTTAATTTCAAATAAATTGCACTGACGGAGATGAAAATTGCAAATGATGATGATGGCAATAAAACCACGGTAGCCTTGCTATCAATGAAGAAATTCGAAAAAATGCTTAAATTTAAAGTGAACATGTGTCGAAATGAAGAGATAACACTTCCCTTGCGTTTGTGGCACTTTTTTTTACTGTTGCGTCATTTGCATATGCTAGCAAAATTCCATGTCACACAGTATTTTGCCTGAGGCGTGCACATCGCTCATTTAACACGCTTCAGATAAGAATCTCTCATTTTTCACCCGGAAAATTCGAAAAGGGAAGTGCTTTCCACTTTATGAAGAGGAAAAGAATCTGAATAAATGAAAAGTGCTGCTCAATGCATTTTAAATGTGATACAAATTTGTATGTGGGCTCTGAAAATGTTAGAGATAAAAGCAAAACGGTCGTCGAAATGAAAAATAACCCCAAAGTGCAACAACCTAATTTTAATTCCTTGGCTTTTTCAACCAATTACATGGGATTTCAAAGTGTAACACACTATTTTGCATACACGAATAAAGGTTAAAAGAACAATCTATATGGAAAATACCAGCTCAATGCTTGTGTGTGTACGAAAAAGGTTTGGGTCCATGTTATTTGGTCGGCTTACACACACACACAAACGAAACACTCTAATCCGAATGGTGTCGTGCACTTATCATTAATTCGCTTCAATGCATTTGGAATGAAGCACCGTATATTTACACAAAATAACAATTGAAATATAATTTTATTCCGAAATGAATGAATGGGCTGGTTTTTATTGTTTGTGTTGTTGTTGCTGCTCATTTACATATGAGTGAGTATTGAAATTATTCAACGAAATACGCAAAGTCAATACCATCAAAATGCACTATATTCAGTACCACCTAACTCAAATGGGAATTTCGTTGTTTGGAACGAAATTTTTTCGATTTAAATAAATTGACACGGCATAATATCCATTGCGTCCACAAACAATCATTGCCAAAACTGTAACATCATATTTTGGCCGTAGGGAAATTTAAAAAAAAATCAAACATAATTAAAAGAGTTTTTCAAACGTTATATTCGATTGCATTCAAACGTTGTTCTATTGAAGAAAGTAACTGTGATACATCAACCGAACGTCTAGATGAAGTTTCGAGAACGTCAAAAGACACGGTAAAACGTGCATTACGCAGGAAAAGATCTAAAAATTTATACAGGAAAGGTGACACCTTTTCGAAACGGTATAAGTTAAATAATGCAATATAGCTGTCCTTCGAAACCTCAATCGAATATAGCACAAAATAATTCTTTTTCATAACATTTTGTATATATTTTTTATATTACAAGAAAAGGTAACTGTTGATAATCCCTCGGCAAAGCAAATATTCTTTGGTATATTCCATCGTCTTTTATTGCACGCATAAATCACATGAAAATGAAAATAAGGAACTGAAAGCCTGTGTCGCAGAGATTATGATCCACTGCTAACGTGCTACAAGATGTACGTTTTCTTCTACCTTCAGAGCCCATCCAATGATGAAAACTAATAAATGCAAGGGATGTTGAGTTTTTGTACTACATGGAAAAAGTAGGGAACAAACGGTTTATCGTCACTGCATCTATCTCATCTTATGTGTTTTTTTTAGTATTCACATACTCTATATGTAATAAACAGCGATTGCGTATATATACAATTTTGGGAAAAAATCATCTTGCTTGGTCGACGCAATGCCGTTTTGGTAAGGGCACACAATAAACGTTTATGTAGTTTGTTTGCACCATAATTTTTTATATTCAATCGCATTACACAAAAATTAAACTCAAATCGGAAAATATGAATTGCAGTAACTGTTTGCTCAAGCGTAACGAAATTCGTTTTATTTTTCTCTTTTTCATCTATGTGTTCGACGATTGAATAATAAAATTCTGTTATCTTGCATTATGTGTTTGGTTTTCGGCGAATTTCAAAAATCGAATTGCAACAACGGAAATATATTATCAGTCTGAATTGCGTCATTTTGCAACAGACTGAAAACATAAAAATTGAAAATATATTTTTTTTACGATTTAAATGCAAAAGTAACAAGCGCTTGCTAGACATTGGATTGTATTCATATGTACTGTTGCTTATCTAAAGTTTTGGAAAAACCTTGACACTTGGGTTCGTTCTGATTTTGATATGAACCATCAAGTTGTAGCAGCGAAACATCAAGCGATCTGTACATTATTTATTTATCGACGACATACATCATCAACATTTCATTTTTCTACTTCATGCTCACGGTAAATAGAAAAAATATATATAAATTAATTAGAAACTGATCTCGGTTAAACAATATCATTTACGATTGATTTTCTTTCTAGATATCGGTCGACAATAATAAACAAAGTGTATTATATTTACTTAGCTAGTTCGTAGATAAGAGCCGATAAATATACACATAATATCGAAGTGCTGAATGCGTGCTTCCAAGAATATTTTTTTTTCTTGACAAGCTTCAACAGGAACACTATTTATATGAAATCACGATTTTAATTTCAAATACGTAGAATATAAAAAACAGCATTTTGCTAAATGGCGTGTGACTCATAGTTTTTTTGTATTTATGTAAGTCTGATACATTTGACGTCATTTCATTTTTTTCGTCGATGATTTTACATCTTTGGCAAAGTGTTGTCATCATCGCTGAATAAAACCTTGATACTGTTGTTTCGTTGCTACAACCAGACAAAGCTGTAGATTTGTTTAATTTCAATTATTTTTTATAGGAACTAGTTTTTTCTCAGCTTCGAAAAACTATGCCCAAGTATCTATAATTTTCTCGATACATATTCAAATATGACCGCATTATTGTTCTCAAACGCCGGCAATTATCATTTCAACTAATGCAACTAATTCTATGAGAGTTCAAGGGGCGATGAAAAAATATTAATTGTTTGTAATTAAATTCTTACCGAAAAGATTCTATGTTGCTCTTGCACCGGCTATCTCTGTTTAATTCTTTCCAATTCAATTAAAATTCTTCGCACTTGGGAACAATTGTTCTCTTTTGTATTCAATAAACGTAATTTTTCGAATGAATTCATAAAAATTTTCCGACTAACATCTGAAGAAAAAAAACACAGTTTATTCTTCGATCACTTCAAGTTTGATTAGCCCAAAAAAGAGATGAATGCACACAGACACACTAAAAATACAAATAACGTCAATGCAAATTGAACTCAATTAACATTTGGCACTTATATTCGCCTATTTTCTTACGAAACCGGCAATGTTACACACAGATGAGCAAACTGTGTGATAATTTCGAACTGATAGCACACTATTGTACAGCACTTCAAGGTAAATTGGTTTATTATTATATTGTTTTCAACGTGTTTTGTACGAAATATCGGCGAATGATGTCATTAATTGAAAATTCATTGGAATATATAGTCGCGAGTTCAGTCTGATTTAATTACCATAAAACGAAAAAAAAACGTTGTATATATTTTAACCATTCAAATTTGATTTTTATTCTTAAATCCGGCTCTATCGATATTTCAAAGCACTGTTTGTTCGACTAATGAAAATAGCAACAACAACAAATTTTGCGCAAACCGCTCTCTCAAAAACACGACTTTTTCGGTTAACGTTTGAATATCATCTGTTGTGTGTATACGGCGAGTGCCGATTTGTACGAACGACTGCGACGACGGTTGTACTCATAGTTTATTTACGAATAAATGTTTGATTGTGTTTTGAATGACTAATACGCTTCGGCAGCAGCGGCTAGTGTCTGTATGGTGCACGCGTTCTCCCTCTGTCTCGCGTCTCGCACATCTGTCTCTTACACACGATGCGTACAATCTCGGTGTGTAGAACGCATCAAATAACAAACACACGAATATATATTCTATATGATTCACGGTTTTATTTTTTTGGAGAGTTTGGCCGTAGAGATTGTTAAATATTTGAAAAAGATTTATTATTTTTCTTTCTGACGCTATTATTAAATGATCTTGAAAGAGTTTAATTTTATTAAATAATTTTATTAAGAAATATTCATGGGAAAAAAGTTTATCTTGATTCAATCATTTGTGAAATAATTGAAGGTCTGCATTTATTTTATGCTCGTTTTACCAATAGGGAACGCGCATGACCGAACAGTGTTTCCGCATTGAACAACATTGAGATAGATAGTGAGAGAGAGATAGAGCGAGTAAAAATCGAAGAGACTCTGTTTGACAGCTCTCAAGAAATCCACCTTTATTCGCACACAGAGTAAAATCAATCAATTTTGTAGTAGGAAGCCTTTTAACTCGTAAACATTTTTTTCTTTGTGAAAACTATGATTTGAATTGATTCCAACAAGAAGGTAACCATAATAAATTTACTGTGAAATTTGCAAAACTGTCAATCAGCATTCTTTTAAATAAACAACAAATAAACGACGTGAAAATAAAGTGTTGAACGAGAGAAGAAAAAAAAAGTTGACGACGTCACATAAAAAAGTTCTCACATATATAGAGTAACTTCATTGCCTTTGGCCATAAAGTGAATTGCATTCATAATATTGGGAGTATACGTCCCAAGTCCATTAACTAATTTTGCGTATGTATCCAAATGGGAATCCAACAAGAATGACTCAACCTTTGGCTTGTGTGATGCTTTTTCTTCATTTTTGACAAATTTACTGCTTGTATTGTGTGATACTTTTGAGTTTCGATTCGTCTTACCTATGTTTCTAATTCAAAAGTGACTTGAGACGGGCAGAGCCATATTTTTTTTTCTCTTCAGTTCATGTGTGATGTCATCGATTTCTCAAGCGCGCTGCGACAAAAAAAACGCAACATGTTATTTTATCTGCAATTTTATTCACATTTCGTTTCGTTATTATTACTATTATTATTGCGATTATTGATTTTTCTCGTTATGCACTGCATCTGTATAATTTTTTGTATTATAACACCGCATTTTATTTGGCATAGTAAATTATTTTTAAAATTTGTGTTTTTTCATCTATATCTACGAAAAAAAGGAATTCTAGTTAGTTTTGAATCAATTCACCACGGCGTCGATACAAGCTAAAAAAGCAATGGATCGTAAAGCAGAACTGGAGCGGAAAAAGGCCAAATTGGCCGCTATTCGTGAAGAAAAAGAGCGTCGACGACGTGAAAAAGAAGATAAAGATAGAGAAGATGCAAAGAACACTTTAGTGTCTGGTCAAGAAAAGGACAATCATCGGTTTGTATTACGGAATAGTTTTTTTTAATTAATTTTGGAAACGTGCATATTAAAGTGCTATTTTTTGTTTGAAAATAGAACTTTGGATGAGACGCTATCGTCACTGGGCGTTGCACCAATATCAGAAGTGCTGTCATCTCTGTCATCTGTTAATTCGATGGCATCGGATACATCGGTAAATGCAACACCAGATGGAAGTTTGCAACCAGCTAGTCTGAACGGAACGAGGTATAATGCACACACACATTATATTTTTTGAAAAAAAAAAAAAAAAATCTTTAACATTTTTTTTTGAATTTTTAGTGCACGGCCAAGCAAAAGATCAACTACTAGTCTTAGTGTTGTGTCAGTTCAAGCAACTGAAATTCCGCCAAAGGAAACAGTCACGTATTCGAAACAAACACAAACAGCCAATACGGGTGGCGTTGAGCGCGATGGTTGGTATACATTTTATTTGCCCATTTCATTCTTAATCTCGATGTCTTCACCTAACCAAATGTATAAAAAAAAATTTAAGCTTATAACACAATATCCTTTCTTTTAAATTACTAGTCATAGATTTCGCGTTTTGTGATTCTCTCTTCTTTTCAAACACAATTTTAGTTTTCGACTTTCTATAAACTAAATTACTCTTTACTCTTAAACCAATTTATGTTAAGAAAGACCTATTTGTTTCTTTAATATTGATCATTGTTGTTGTTGTTGTAGCCTTGCGTAACTATAAATATATTTTATTTTGTACAGAATGCACCACTATTATTTTATAAGTGCACTTTGTTAAAATGTATCGCCTTGTTATCATTTCTTTCACATTGGAAATCATTATAATTTTCAAAACACATAATTCCGTTAATTTTCAATTTATTCTTGCATTGTTCGATGTACGTAAATTTGGAAATTCCTTTCTAAAAATGCATTTTTCATAAACAAAAAAATTAAAATTAAAATAACGGATTCAGTTCTTTCTTGCCATTCCTCACCTTTGTCAGGATATATGGAAGATTGGTGGCGGCCACGTAAAGGTACAACATCTTTCTCTCTCACTCACACACACACACACATACACTCTATCTCTCTTAATATACAATTATAAAATAAACTCTGATCAATTTAAATTCAATATTTTAATAAAACTTCTCATATTATATTGTTTTTCGTTGAAGACAGGATGGCATTATTACTAATGCATTCCAAACGATTCAAAATTCCTTGCTTTGGCAATATTTATTAATCAATATTTCCTCATTTAAATCAAAGTCGTCGAGTGTTCGTATGAAATAATGCTTATTAATTCCGTTTTCTTTATCTTTCCATGTTCTATGATTGTAGCTCATGCCACAGACTATTACGGTAAGTGTTACAAATTTACTTAATTTACTCTCTTTACATTGATACATTTCTCTCTTTGGAAAATGCTTCAAAATACTTTAAATCATGAACATATAATTTGGGAGAATTTTTTTTTTTCGAATTTATGCAATTATGAAACAGTTTTTGATTCTGAAATATTTGAGCCAAGTATACTTTTACTAGATTTTTTTTTTCATCGTGTGCCAATCAATGATTATGTCGCAAAATGTAAATTTTTGATTTTCTTTTTATTAAAAAGCTTGAACCAATTTGAATTTAATTTCGATTTCGAGAAAATTTAGATACATTTTTCTCCACCCATTCTGTTGTACGTATGTTCTAAAGCCGAATGGTTTATGACCAAGCGTTCAGAAAGACATACATTTATGCGAGCGATTGAATGATGCTTGCATCATTTGATGCGCATCGATTGTGCTGTTGCCATACATTCGGATCTTCGGCAGCGCACGAAGTGCTCCGAACGCACAACGAAAGCACTAGCGATGCGCATCAAATGATGCAAGCATCATTCAATTGCTCGCATAAATGTATGTCTTTCTGAACGCTTGTTTATGACAATGAATATTTTCAAAATAGTCATGTCACAAATATTTTTCGGCTTTTTTTTGCTTTAATTAAAAGTGATCTAATTTTTAATTTGTTAGTAAATCATTTTCGATATACATAATTTATTTCGCTACATAATTTTAAATTATTAAGCGCTTTTTCATCATTATAATTTTATACGGGTTTAACAATATATATATGTTTTATTTTCAGTCAAATCTATTTTTAACGTTAATGTTAATTGAGCATTTACTTTTTAATTTCTGTTTTCACTGCATGAAAACTTCAAGTTAAAACCCATCTTCAGTTTAATACATTTTATAAAGAATCGTCTCTTTCAAAAACTCGAAAGGAGAAAACGAAACCCAACAGAAATGGCCAAATCGTTTTTAAGTAAAAAATTAATGAATATTTTGACCCGGCGTTATCTACTATTATTAAATTAAATCCTTTATATATTTTTCTGCATGAATCTATTTTGGTATTTCTATTATGTATTCGTTGAGTATTTTTATTTATATATTGAGTAGCGATTTGTTGTTTTGGAAAACTTTATTTAGTTAATGTTTGAATTTGCACTGTTCTTCTTCACCAATTAGAAAACGTTGTTATACCACCGTTGAATTTGATGGCATTTTCTCCCCGCTTGTTTTGTTGTTTTCTTATTAGTTTTTGAATGAATGATTTAATAATTTCTTTCTTTCAATTGGGTTGAATTATAATGAATCTCTAGATTCAAAATCCATTATATTCTTGCGATTTGACGTCCTGGCATTCATTTTCGTGTATTTTTTGCCGTATATTAGCTTTTTTGTTTTTTTTTTATTAAACTCAAAATCAAAACTAGGAAAAATGTCTTTCAAAGAATTTTCAAATTTGAAATCGTAACACACCTGAAAAGTAAAGTTGGAATTTTCTCTCTTCTTTTTTTCTTTTTTCAAGATGAATACAATCTTAACCCAGGTTTAGAGTGGGAAGATGAATTTCAAGGTAAGGTATCTAAGCCGTGCTTCTCACAACGCAATCAAACATCTGCAAATACTGCCCGACAATTGCCTATTGTTACGCCATAGGAAAATTTGGGCCGCGTATATCATCTGTATAACATGAGTGCCAAATTGAAATCCATCAAACATTTGGTGCAATATACGTGTATGTGATGCAAGTTTGATCGGCTTTATTCTTCGCATGGATCTTCTTTTTTTTGACAAAATGAAGAATTTCCAACGAATTCTACTTTGCATTTTGAATTGTATGAATGGCATATTTGCAGTGTGAATGTGTACTTTATCTTCTTTCCTTTTCCGATATTCCTCTGTATGGTGATTGTTTCTATTATAAACTAATCATTTACTAATTCAATCAATTAATCTCGCTTGTCCTTCAACTTTATCATGGCAAATGCTCTTTCTAATCTCTTTTGGAAATAACACATCAGTATCGTCACAATGAACAGTAGAGAAAGTGTTCACAATAGTAATCATAATAACATCCACATTTGAAACACGCAAAACCATGGTAAAATTCTGACGTGCCAATGGGTCAAAATGAATTAGTTTTTTTTCTAATAATAGCTCATGTTCAATATTTGACTGGAATACATCAATCATTCCATTGCATTGCGTATTTCGGAAAATGAAAATGTCACTTTGATAAGTTTAAAATTGTGCTTAGAGACTTAAAAAAATTGTAGAGTGTGTTCGCACCATAGTTGTCCAAGCAGAGAGGTTTTTACCTCCCCTGAGAATTCAATATTTCACTCGTTAAGCAAACTTCATTTAAATTCAAATTATTAACGACAATTGTAATAAAGCACCCTCATATCCTCATCATTAAAATCCATTTAAATCTAATGGTAAGCTAAATATTCATATTTTCGAATAAAAAATTGTGTAATGTCAAATATTTAGATGATGTGTGTGTGGATTAGGCAAAACAAATGGGTGGAGAAAATTGGCCAACTGAAATTCGATCATTCAAAATTTCGACGAATATTTTTAATAGACTAAATAATTTATTGCAAAATTTTTATTCGCTAAATTCACAGAAACTATTCCAAAACTATTTGAATTTCATCGTTCAATTTCGCTGTTATCTTATCTATTGGTATTAGCTAGAAATATGAAAAAGTAAATTTTAAACATGGGTAAAAAATTCGACAAAAAATAGTTTTTCTATATTTAAAAAAATCCGTATTGGCGTAAACTTAATTGATTTTTTTTTTTCAACTCAATTGCACCATTCTATATTCTGATTGTGCACCGATCTTTTTGAATCATTTTTTTTTTCTTCGGAACAATAACAAAACGTGAACAGCAGAAATTCATCTAAAACCTAATTGAGCATATTTAAATGGAAAACTAAAAGCATGCCAGTCTCACAACTGAAATCGTGACTAAAATTACATTAAAATTTTACGAAAAGTCGGAAATTGTCTTCGTGTCTCTCCTAGTTATTGTTCTTGTTTCATAAAAAAAACCTTTCCTCGTGTTTGTCTGTGGTATGGTGTGATTTTGCTAGCAATGTTAGTTTTGTACTTACACAGTGCTTACTTTTGGTGATGCCCAAGGAGACGATGACGAAAATTCACTACCCCACATGGATCATGGTTTTCATTCGAAGCTACCTCCTGGAATTCTACCCCATGGGCTTCCGACTGTACAAGAGGTTGCTCCAGCCATAACACCTCAAGAGAAGAAAGTTAAAGAGGACGAAAAGAAGCAAAGTTAGTAAAACGATTTATATTTTTTCGAAAATAAACTCTAAACGTATTGTTTTTGCCAATTTCAGTTATTGAACTATCTGAAGAACAAAAGCAGATGATCATTCTCTCGGATGATTTCCAGCGATTTGTTATGAAAACAGGCCGAATTATGGAACGCGCACTATGGGAACAAGAGGATATTTATACTGATTATATTGGGGGTGGTGATATCGATGAAACATCGTAAGTTCAAATTTAATTTCATCATTAAGAAATGTACAAGTTGATATTGATGCTCAATTTTATTTTTAGTGATGAGAAATCACATGCAAAACTGTCTCGAAATCGTGTCTTCTATTGTGATCGTTGGTCGAAAAATCGTTGTGTTACATCGATGGATTGGTCAACACATTTTCCGGAATTGCTGTTGGCATCATATCACAACAACGAAGAATCACCAAACGAACCGGATGGCGTTGTCATGGTTTGGAATACAAAATTCAAGAAACAAACGGCTGAAGATGTATTCCATTGTCAGAGCGCTGTTATGTCAGCCTGTTTTGCAAAATTTCATCCGAATCTAATATTGGGCGGAACATATTCTGGTCAAATTGTATTGTGGGATAATCGTGTACAAAAACGCACACCAATTCAACGTAGCCCATTGAATGCAAGCGCACACACAGTAAATATACCAATACTTTTTTATGGTTAGAACGTGATTTTTGATCTTTTCTCTTTTTCAGCATCCGGTTTATTGCTTAGGAATGGTTGGAACACAAAATGCTCATAATGTTATCTCAATTTCATCGGATGGAAAACTATGCTCATGGAGCTTAGACATGTTGTCAACTCCACAAGAAATCCTAGAATTACAACATAAGTAAGCTGTTCGAATTTGTTTTTCTCATCAAAATAGATAAGAAATTTCTTTTCTAATAACTATGTTCCAATTTGCAGACAATCAAAATCAATTGCGATAACAAGTATGGCATTCCCCAAGAATGAAATTAACAACTTTGTTCTAGGCAGCGAAGATGGCAATGTTTATTCAGGTGCGTTACGTTGAACAATGAATACGTCTAATTTTTAAGCCTTCGATTTGAGGAGAATTTTCTTCTTTATCTGGAAAATGAAGTAACCATGTCCAATAAAAAAAAAACTCTGTAACATTTTTATCTTATTTCTAGGTTGTCGTCACGGGACGAGACCTGGAATCGTTGATGCGTATGAACGGCATTTGGGTCCGGTGACTGGTATATCAACACACTACAATCAATCATCGCCCGATTTTGGCCATTTGTTCTTAACATCTTCAATCGATTGGACGATCAAATTATGGAGTCTTAAAGAGAACAAACCACTTTATTCATTCGAAGATAATTCTGACTACGTCTGTGACGTGGCATGGTCCCCCATCCATCCGGCATTGTTTGCCAGTGTGGATGGAAACGGTCGTTTGGATTTGTGGAATTTGAATCAAGATACGGAAGTGCCAACGGCGTCGGTTGTGATTGATGGTGCACCAGCACTGAATCGTGTTTCATGGACGCCATCCGGATTACATGTTACGATTGGTGATGATTCAGGCAAAATCTATGTGTACGATGTGGCCGAGCACCTGGCAACACCACGCATGGATGAATGGACTAAATTTGCAGCCACATTAAACGAACTGAAATTGAATCAAACCGATGATTTTGATAGTATTGAAAAGAAAACACCCATTCCACAACCAATTAGCAGCGTCAGCGGTCCTGAATCACTCATATCGAACAAAAGTTTTGTCTAAGCGAACGGAGATAAAATTTTGAATTCTATTCCTCTTGAAACTCTTGTACATTTTAACCGCGATAGTTTAAGAAGTAAAAAATTCTGAATTGTGTAATGTTTTGAAGATAAAAAAAAATGAAAAGCGTAGCTTAATGCGTACTCAGAAGAGTTCTAGAGTAAGATTCATACCCAGTAATAATCACTAATGTCTGCTCTAGTTAAAATAATGTTCAATAAACTGAATTTGCGTAATTTATAATAAAATATTTAAATCAAAATGCATTTTCAATCCTTATTGTTTGTGAACGTTTTCAAGAGCGACGAAAGAATTTAATTCCGTATGTGCAAAAAGAGCTGAAAACGTTTAGAACTCAATGCGGTTTCCATGGTTCATTATAATCGTTTAATTACGATGTTTGATCGATATGCGAATTTCAGTGTTCTCTTCACCTTAATGCACGTATGTGTCAAAACCGTACAAAAATCCATTAAGATATAATAAAATGGAAAAAAATCGCTGATGAAATTTAGACGAGGGGTTCATTAATATACCAAACGAAAGGTAATATATAAGTGATTTTCTCATATGTTTATTGCATATATACACAGTTGTTTACATGTTCATAGCACATTTAAGCTACTGAATGAATGAATTGAAAGTGCATCGTGGGGGTGAGAATACTGAATGTAATGTCATCGTCGACGTATAAACATAAATTAGATTTGTGGTAACTTATACGTGATAGGTGGTGTGACTGGGGTGTTGAACCGTGCAACGTATTTTGAACGAAAAAAAATTCAATTTACTACATATGATTTGCAAAACCATTAAGCCCAATGAAATTTTCACCTCGAACCGCATGGTACAAGCGTATATATATGGCAAATATGTAGAACATATGCATGCTCTTTGTCTATCTTCTTTTTTTGCAGGAACTTTTCAATTTACGGGAAAAGAACAAAACTATATACGGAAATCCAGTAAATTTTGTGGTGTGAGGTGCGAAGTAAAATTCAACAACCATGGAATTCGTTTTAGTTACAACGAATATTTCGACTCCAGAGTCTAGTCGGAGCGGTTCGGTTATGAAGTTTGGCGACTATAGGTTTGTTACAAGCATTCATTGAGTTCAATTTTTATATACGGAACAAACTGCATTGTTGGTCCGGCTTGAGCGGCCGGTGATCAATGTCAAATTAGACTACTATCTTAATTTCAAATTCCGAATTTCAATAATTTTCCCTAATCAACAGAGAAGATGATCAAAAACTTGATGAAGCTGTTTCATTACCGTTGGAGAAGGAATTTCTTGGAATTGCTTCCGACTCTGATGATGAAGATCAGGCATTGTTGGATGGTTTTAACGCTTTGAGCGCACGTCATCGCTTATTGTCGCATGAATTTTGCACAAAAGTTATTCTTGACCAAGATCAACAGAGAGCGTTGCAACTGGTTATCGGTTTGCACGTCTCAGAGGAAAATCCTTGGAAACAAATTCGAAAAGAAACTCTCCTTTGTTATCTGCCTGACGATGAAAATGCGAAGCCAGAACAAGTCGAGTTACGTTTAAAGTTACTTGAACTCGCCGACGATGCTTTCTTATTGGCTGGATTCGCCGCGGCAATAACCGATATTGATAACACTGATACTTTTTTATTTTACGCTGATCCAGAATCGGCAAAAGAATCGGTCAGTCTTATACAGCGTTTGGAAGCATTCGAACGACAGCGCATAAATAAAACCATTTTTAAGTACCCACGACCATGGAAAAACTTGGGAAGTGATGCAGAAGTTGATCTACAAGTTGAAACAAAATCAAGAGATAAACTTGAAGTTGAAGTTCAACGTTTATGCGCGAATAATAAAACACCGTATAAACTTTCATTTCGCTTCGCGGATGATGTTCGTGATGGTTATGTAGAATTAGTGCCAAAACACAAAAATTTTGATGTTATAACGCGGAGCAGAGTTTCAATCGGTATTCAGTCAGCCGCACAACTCGTCGAAAGTGAACAACAAACTGATCCTACATTTCCGGCAAATGCCTGGTCTCAATATTCATATGAACTACCCATCGATCGTGAGTAATAGGCAATATTTCATTTTCGATTGAAAAAAGGAGTAATTTCTGTCTATGTAACCAAAAATGTAGCCAACCAACCTGAAGAAAGCGTCGAAGGCAATGATGAGACTGAAGTGGAAGCTTCTAGTGTTGATCAAGATGAAGAGGAAAAATCTAAAGATTTCATTGGCCCTTCCGATGCAATGAAAGAACTGATAAGAGTATTGGAATTCAATGCCATTGACATGTACAGGTAAAAATTGGCGATAAATAAACTGATCCAGTTTGAGATGTCCATAGCTAGTTTCTAAAGAAGACACCATTTTTTTTGTACAGAGACGATTATGAGCAAATTGCTTCCAAATCAATTACACAGTACATAGAGCCCGTCATCACGGAAGTGTTTTGTTTTATCGATCCAAAGAGATGCACCGATCGTGTTGTTAGTGCATTCGCATGGCATCCAAACTTATCTGGAATTTTTGTCGCATCTTATACATATAAAGCATTGAATACATTTGCAAAAGGTATCAAAGTACTACATTCAGTATCATTCGTCGATCATACGTTGATAATCAATATTATTCCGAAAATTAATTAAAATCCCATTGTTATTCATTTTACAACTTTTATCATTTCCATTCATCAATCTCGTTTTGAATTAATGCGAATATTCACGAACTTTCACGTAATTTTACTTTTCAGATGAAAAAATCAGTGACGACGAAATGAATAAGCGATCAGTAATGTTGTCAAATCCGGTTCTTATGTGGTCATTCGATGATACTCTGTATCCAAAATTAATATTGGAATCATCTCGCGAAGTAACCTTCTTGTCATTCTGTCCTTACGATGCCAACATATTGATTGGTGGCCTAATAAACGGTCAGTTGATAATTTGGGATTTAAACAATTGTTTAAATCGTGTTGAAAATCCCACTGAATTAACCGAAAAGCAAGAAAGGAATCGTAAAAAGATGCACTCGTTTATGAAATGGTCAAAATTTGCGGAGAATTTACAACAAAATATTGTTCGGGCATCAGCAATTTCTCATGTTCAACTGTCACACAAAAAACCAATTACCAGTATCAAGTGGTTAAATCGTAAGCACTGTGTAGCTTCATCGGGATTAATTGGCGAAACCATCAAGCCGAATGAATTTTATCGGCAATTTGTGTCTGCAAGTTTGGATGGAACCGTTCTATTTTGGGATCTTGATTTTATGAACACTGATATTGCGCCAAGTGAATTGAAGCGAACCGACACCAAAAAACAGCTACCGCAACGTGTGATAGCCGCAGAATATGTTTCACCTTATGAAAAATTAAATGGAGTTTTTCAACCAATTTACGCAGCAGCATGTGAACAACCAATCTCAAGTTTGATATTCGATGAAGGACTATTCAGGTACCGGATTCATTCTCTCTTAATATTACTGAATGAATCATCAAGAATTTAAAGTGAATCAAATTGTACTACATTTTGTTTTGTCGGAAGATTGATGGATTATCAAAATATAACAAATTTTGTAGGTATGAACCAAAAAGTGCGGTTGAAAACGTTCAAATCGAACAGAGAACTGAGTTCGACGTCATACATGAGCAACAAGAGAAAGCAAGCAATCGCCTAGTCATTTCATCCTTATTGGGTTCAATAGCTACATTCATTTGGGAAGGCTTTCTGTATAAAGAAGGAAAACCGGAAAAAGCCAAACAGGTTTAAGTTTAAAAATAGTTGGTTTTTTTTTCGTGAACATGTATCGAAATTATGATTTATTATAGATAGAATCATATGCAACAATCCACAATGGTCCAGTTTTATCAATTGAACGTAATCCATTTATGTCCAGTATAAATTTGTCTGTAGGAAAAGATTTATTTGCCGTTTGGAGTGAACTCAATCAATCGGCACCGGTTCTTTGGAGACGCCGTGAAACTAATATTACTTGTGCGCAGTGGAGTCCAACACGAATATCATTGTTTTTTGTTGCTCGATATGGTGGAATAATTGAACTATGGGATCTTCTAACTCGTACCGATGAAGCTTGCATTACACATGATGCTGGCACAAATATAATTACAGTCATATCACAGCATAGATTGAGTCTTCCAACTGATGTCCTAATGATTGCCGATGAAAAAGCAAACTTGAGAGCATTTACATTGCCAACCATTTCGCAACCCATTGAAGATGATCATGATGTAATAAATACATATTATTGTTGGCTAGCAGTCATAAGTCCACACAATCTATAGACACCACGAAGCACATATGATTCATGAGATGGTGCTTAAACGTCACAAATTTCTGTGAATTTATGACCGCTACCCATTATAGTATAAGCATGGATCATTGCCAATGAGTTAAAATTCAATTTAAATTGCAGAAATTTAAAGAGTTTATCAATATGGAATTGAGGCGAAAGGAAGAATTTAATAAGTGGCAAGAATCGCTAACTGAAAAGAACGGAGACTTTTTAGAAGAAACGAAGCAACTTTTACGAGAAGAGTCTCGAAGAACTTTACAATCACCAATGCCACCGCAATCGGAGAAAGAATCCAAAGTTAAAGATGAAAAGAGGCATAGTAGCGTTGGTGTTAGATCAAAGTATGCGTATCAAGGATGACTTAATGCTTTCGACAATAATCGTTTTTTTTCTTCTGTTTTTTTTTTTCGATATAAAGGTCTGTCACGCAAAATGCGAAATCAAAACATGTTTTTGATTATTCTGAACGTTTGCACAAAAAATGGGAAGAAATGATGGTTAAAAAAATGATGAAAACTATGCTACGTTTGAAAAGATTTGATCCCGAACAAATCGCAATGAAAATTAAGCCAGAAAGAGATCGACAAGCATATAATGTTGAAAAGAAACGAGCAATTGATGAAAACTTCAAAAAAATTCATCAAGAAATTTGCGAAATCAGAGCCAGACTTATTCCACCAAAAGATGTCGATCAAGAGGCTGAAAGACTCAATTTTATCACATCAAATGTGGAAAATATATTGATGAGTATTGGCGATCGGTTCCAATATACCGAGCTTCAAAAAAAGGTTTACTTTTAATCGTATTTTGTCCATCGTACGTAGTTGATATTGACGTGAGAATACTTGTTTTTCACATTTTTACAGCTGGAAATTTCCAAAACAAATATGATTGAAATAAAATGGAATGAGTTGATTGATCAAGCACAAATCACACGCTCCAAGCGCAGTAAGAGTATATTTGAAGAGAGACGAAGGGCATACCTGGAGAAAGCAGCATCAATTGAGGCACAAATAGAGGAGAATAAATGAGGCAACTGCTCATAGCTTCTAACCGAGGGGTCTAATTTTTGAAATAGAAAAAAACGGAAAAAGCCTGGAATTCGGATAGAATAGTCACAAAAAATAAGAAATTACCCCTTTACAATTTTGAATTTTTTGAAATTTCCACATACCCCTCTTGGAACGCGAACGTCACAAGCCATGCAACTGTTATATTTGGATGCAATAACATTTTGATATTTTTTATTCTGTACAAACTTCTTTTCATGTCAACACTCTTTTGAGTTAATTAATCGCATTGTCCAAAGCACTGTTTGGTTCGGATTTTATCTATGTCGAAACGCCGCAAAATGAAATTCACACTATTTATATCAAATACCATACTTTTTGAAATTAGCTCGATACGTACATCTCGATTTGGGTATATTTTTGAAGACTGCCTGCTTGAATTGTGCCTGCTTGAATTGTAACAATGAAATCGTATACAAGCTCTTTCGTATGTATGTTTATTTATATTCATATTTTTCATTAGCTTTCAGATTTCAGAACGAGTGCATTCCAACGGAACCTGTACTCCAACATATATTTTTTTTTCTTTACAAAACAACGAACATTGCAATAAAATTCAAATTCCATAGAAGTTTTATTTCCAAAAGACAATAAAAACAGCATATTTACGGGAATCTTCAATGAACAGAAAATATTATTTAGTTGGACTAAAAATTGATCGTCCAAACCACAGCCAAAGTCAATTTAAAGATAGAAAAAAATTCGTGAAAGTATACACATAATTTTTGTAAAAAAACAATTTCATAATTAAACACTTGATTTAATATGATTTCTACTAAAAAAAGTTGTTTTTTTTTGTTATGTCATTTGATATTTTTATATTTGCGGACAAAAGGTCAAATTTTTATTAGAGATATGCGCGAAAAGTTTCCTAGTAATAGTTAAATATTCAAAATAGTTGTCAAATGTTTGTGATCTGTCGTTTCAAAGTGTACCACTTAGAAATATAAAAACAATACGCAAAATAAAATGACAACAATAACCATAAACCATGTTAGATGATGAAATTTCGAAAATATGCCAGTTGCAATGATTATTTGCATAACTAAGTTATCAACACATAGCTTGAGTGGAAACCACCAGAACTCAATAAAGAAATAATAATAACTAAACCAAAGTATGCATATTTATATGTCCGTTGTATCTTCCTGTTACATGGTCAACTCGACGAGCGACGCTCCAATTGAATAATTACTTAATAACGAGTTGCAGATCAAGAAAAGGTATTTGCACATAAGCACAATAACATCATTTCCTCTTTTTTTTACTCAGCTATAATGATGCATTGAAGTCATGAATAAGATATATGTGCAACCAGTTTTTGGTCATCGGCCAACGTCTTACTTCCACTTTGAATTGTGTGTCAGTGTGCATGTGCATAATCGTAAAAACGAGAATCTGTGCAAAATCAAAAGAAAAAATAATAATAAAGAGCATGAACAAGAAAACTGCGCGTGTTCATCAATTTCTTATATAACAAATTCATCGTGTCAATGTGAATGTGGTACATATACATTTCATGCGTTGGTTTCTTTGTTGAATATTGCTGACAAAATGAAACAAATCCAAGTAAATCAATAAAGCATTTGATTTCTTTTAATTCGTCTGCCTTTCTCTACGGTGTGAGATTTATTCGATGAAATCACGAAAAAAAATCAATCGTTGAACATTTTGTGTTTTTGTGCATCAAAAGATCAATAAACTTACGTTGTATGAAATGATCACAATTTCTCATTTGAATTGATCGAGAAAAAAACCACGTTAAGTATGGCAAAGTATCACCGAATTACCGGTTAAATAAAAATAAAAAAGTGGCTTTTTATAAAACCACTCGGTACAACGCATACAAAGTCAAGGTATTCAAATTGCCAATAGAAAAAAAATAGATTCAATGACAACTGGTACAAGAAATGCAAGATCACAAGGTTGATTTAGTTAAAGTCACAAATATAATCAATTTTGGTACTGTTGAAATGTAACAATTAGATAGATCGGCTCCTTTCATATGCTCACCTACAAATTGGTTCAGTTCAACTTTTATACATAAAAAAACCATACGAAATCACAAATGTATGCGCTACAACATTATTATGTGCACAACGAAATCCAGCCCAAAGGCAAACATTCCGAACTAGCCTACGGTGTCAGCGAACACGAACCCAAAACGAATACACGATTGAACTCGTAACAAATTCGTTGAACAAGCTTTCGTTGGATTTTTTTTGAGAAGGGATTCCTCAAAAGTAAGAGCCGTTTACATGTGGAGCCTTAGTTTAAGAATACACACTGGACAGCTTAGTTGTAGGTTTTAACATAAAAACGAAAAAATCGAACCTCTTAATTTGTATCTCATCGGCAAAGAAATCACGTACCACAGTTTTGTTTCCAAAATGAATCGTTTTGTTATTGTTCTAGTGCTCGCTTCGCTGGCTTTTACTAGTGAGTTTTTATTCATAATTAAATTGAAAATTTTCAAAAAATTAGTTTACTTCAAAATTCATCGTTTTTATTCAAAAAAAAATCGCCACATTTTTTATTTCATTAACAAAAATACTTTCACAGCTACCAAAAGAGTTTAGTTTCGGTGTATAAATTGTGTTATGTTTTTTTCAATCGGCAAGTTATTTTAGAGAAGAGACCTTTTCAACAACTTCATTAAATTTTTTGCTTAGAAAAAAATAGTGATTTCTAAAGGGTATTAGATGGATGCGCATAAAATCACGATATATTTGTAACATTTGTATTGATTTGTATACATATTATTCAAATGGTAAAGGTTAAATTAAATGTGCATCAAAATATCATAGATCCAATAGCTTCATTTACAAGTAAAAAAATAAATAAAACAACACTTTCAAATGTCAATTGCAACATAATTTTCGTGTCTAAAACTTTGTTTAAATTTTACAGCACAAAATCAATGATTTTTAAAGGTGGCCTAAAATTGTAAAGGTTCTGTCCAACATTTTTTTTTAAATTCAACCAAGTGATTTAATTGTTAAATAAATCAATTACAACGTTACATTGATTGACGTTGCAATTGTCAACGAAATTTGTTAAAAAATGAATGTCCATATTTTCAAAAAGAAATTTATTTCAATCACTTTTGAATCGTTGTTGCAATAGATTTCTCCAATCAAATCTTAGATGAATTAAAGTCGCGTAGTAAAATTTCAACAAGTCATTGTCCGCATGAACAAACAGATGTACCATTTTCATTTTCATTGAATTGGCAAATTGAGACCGTCTGTCGATCACTTTTCATTTTAGTGAAACTTATATTATTATTCATTGTCGTTGTCGTTAATATTTTTATTTCATAAAAACAAAGGTATATAAAATCAACACGTCATGATAATAAATTGCACACTAGGACAAAAATTTACATTTAAAATACTTTCGATTTTATAATAATAATCGGTGCGATTCGATGACAAAAGAAACTCTACCAAAAACCGGCTTACATGGTTCGCGTTGTATTTCGATTCAATCCGATGTGCTCTGGTTGGTTGGTGTTTGATGAAACTGGTTTTTAACATCGAAATTTCTTTGAAATCATTTTCGCTATTATACAAGCGAAATAAACGGTCGAATTAACTCTTACTCCAAAAAAAACGTAAACTTACTTAGTGAACACATCTGCGTAGTGAACATAAAACCCCCGTTTTTGATCTTCTCTTTTTTCATTCATAACTTCACATTTGAGGAATTTTCAATTTTAACACGCTTATAAAGCAAACGTAATGACATTATATCGATGTGAGATTAAACAATTAATCTATTCGATTCCAATAAATTAATAACACTCATTTGAGTTCGTTAAAATTGAGTCGAAAGAAATGGCAAGTTGAATACATAATTTAGTTCGAGTTTGGTAGTACATAAATTAACCTGTTAAAATTAGTAAAATTGTTACGACCCTGTGCTGAATGAAGTCAACATAAACGATTATATTGATAAACGCCAAATGATTAATTGTATCTGAAAAAGTACGAAGTAGATCAACGGAAACAGTGGTGACGGCGGCGGCGGAGACAATGTGGTATATTGTTTCATTTTATTATGCACAGTTCCGCAGGTTGTTTATTCATATTGATCTCAGAGCTGAAAACATAGCAACACACAGAGCTTATGAGCGCACGCGAACGAGCGTTGCCAATATGAATTTAGAAAGTTGTTCAACAACTTGGCGACACACCATATTCATACATACATACATATGCAAGAATTAGTGCTAGTTAAAAGGCAATCATGAAAATGTTAACGATGTCGTCGTCACTGATGTCGGCAATGGCGAGAGTGACGACGACGCCAAACGAGTGTTGGCGATACTCCACAGCTTACAATAACAAAATTATATGTTATTTTGTCACATTATCACTTTGTTTTTTTTTTGTCGAATTTTTTCTATTTACACACATTTTCATTTGTTTTACTTTTTTAACAGACGCGCAAAAAGGCAGCAACACTCAGTTCATTTGTCCGAATGACAAAAGTGGGCAATACAAAGATGCGGTGCAATGTGACAAGTACTATGAATGTGACGATGGCGTCGCAACAGAAAGACTGTGCCCAGACGGTTTAGTTTTCGACGAAACCATTCGGCTAAAGAACAAATGCGATCAACCATTCAATGTTGATTGTGAAGATCGTACAGAACTTCGTGAGTTTTACTTTTACACATTTGGGGCCAAATGCAAATAATTGATTTAAAAACGGTTTTTGGTTGAACATTTTCAGAGCCACCAAAAGGAACCAACGAAAAATGTCCACGCAAAAATGGGTTCTTCGCCCATCCAAATCCAGGTGTTTGCAACGTTTTCTTTAACTGCATTGATGGTGATGCCATTGAAATTAAATGTACTGCTGGATTACACTTTGATGAATACTCTGGCACTTGCGTTTGGCCAGATTCAGCAAATCGGGAAGGTTGCAAATCAGAAGAAGGTAATTTAAAATACGCACAACATACGTTTTAAGCGTTTCTTAGCTTTAAGCTTCACCGAGATGTGCATATATTTATATTTTAGAACTTGCTCTAGAATTGAATCAAGATGACGATGCTTTCCGTTGTCCAAGCCAAAGCACAAAATCCAGCGATTCCAAAGGCCAAGTTGTTGCTCACCCAAAATACCCACATGAAAGTGATTGCCAAAAATTCTATGTATGCTTAAATGCAGTGGACAAACGTGCCCTGGGATGCCCTGCCGGTCAAGTGTACAACGATGCAACAGAAATGTGCGTTTTTGAATTTTTTTTTTTTTGGTTAAAAATGTTTTATTTATTCATCCAAATGTCATTTCTATTATTTAGGTGTGATGCACCAGAAAATGTTCCTGGATGGTAAGTATTGGTAGAATGCTTTGATCATTCAACTATCAATTTACGATTCTCTTTTATTCTTACAGTGAGGACTGGTACAAAGACGAATCTGACGAAATTAAACCATCAAAGAAATCAAGAAAGTAAACCACTTTAGAGGTGTTACAAACAATCAAAGATCACATTGATTGTTACATTCAATAGACTTATTTCTCTTCGATTGTATTCAGTTTAAATTTGCGTAAAAATAACGATATTAGTTTCAAATTTTCGTTTTTGTTTATTTTGAAAGCATACGACAAAAAATAATGATGACATAAATGTTAACGTTTTAACATCAAAAGACTTAAATATGTAAAATTACAAACCTTTAAATTAATCACCATTTTATTTTTCATTTCCTAAACTATTCTCTTCCTCTTTAAACGTCTGTTAATCTACTCTCGATCTAACTTCTAGTTTCTCTGTCTCTCTTGTACTTGAAAAGAAATCTCTCTCTATCTTTTTTCTCTTTCGCTTTCTTGATCGATCTCTATGTCTGTTTATTCTACTCCATCTGTTTCTCTTCTTATTTCTCTTTTTCTTACTCTTTCGATAAATCACTTTTACTTTTTAGAAAAATGACAAATAATCGATGACTTATCGATGTTGAAAAAATCAATCAATAATAAAAATTGAATGCTCATAAAAAATAAATAAAATATGGCGCAAATTAAGAATTTGAAGAAAAAAACCGAAAATAGAAAATTGTTTTTATTCATTTTGTCTTGAAGTACAATAAAAAATACCAGAATACATTTGAAATATTTTGATTTGATTTGAAAAAATATACACTCCCTTCAAATAACATAAAACTAATCACAGACTCTAGTGAAGCAGCAAATACGCGAAGAAATTTCAATCACAAATAGAGGTACTCCCCATACAAAACTTTCGATTTTTGGCTCAAAAGCAAATATTTTGTATGGGAGGTACGCCTAATTTGCATTTAAATTTCTTGAAACTTTCAAAATTTTATTTTTCTGACAAATATAGCCTGTGCAAAGTTTCATGCCATTACAGGCTTTGCGTCCATACGAAAATCAGCATTTTTGGTCATTTGACTTTTTACACCACATATTTTGAATTATTTAAACCAGGCACACAGGTTACCTATGTTTTAACATTGCAATGATATTTTAGGGGCAGAATATGTGGATATCCCTTGAAAACAACTGACTAGAACTCCATAGACGTCCTAGTTTTGCCTTTTATATGCTGTTAAATATTTTCACCTTAACATGAACCAGGCACGCAGAGAAATGAATTACATTTAATGATATAAGCAACTCATCAAAAGTCATAACCATGATGAACTTTTAGCTTTACTGAACTATTTAAGTTAATAAGTTATAGGAGGGAGAACATTTTGGAAAGGTATGAACATTTCGGTTTACAAGGAATTAAGATGAGTGCCATAAAAAGCATTCTTAATTAGTATTCCATTATGCTCATCGTTTTTCCAGCGAAAATAATAATAAAAATATTACCTGCAGTTCAGTTCGGGTCCAAAGGGATGAGAATGAAAAAAGAGTATTATTTAAATTTTTTATTTTTTTTATTGTGCTTCTCTCCAACATTACAAATTTACAAAAAATTCAATAGAAAACGTTGATTGAATTGATTACAATCAAGATTACAATGCAAGGGAATCTTAAGCGGTTTCCTTAAATATGAATAATTTTCACCAGTTTGGTTGGAGTTTTATTTTGATCTCATTTGGTATACTGCCAAATGAACTTTTTCCGCCTGCTGTCTTTTTAGAGATTTCCCAATCGTTTGCTTGATCTTACGTATGTCATCTAGTTGTTGGGAAACATCCCTCATATAAATGATCAACTTGTCAATGTTGGGCGTATGTTGTAGCATTTGTAGGATTGCTGACGAATTGGCGACACAACCATTGGCAACTAAACTCAATCGGTGAACTTCTGTCAGTGATGGGGACAAATTTCGTAAAAACTATTTACAGGGTGCGCCATAATAACTGTCCCTTTTATTTCTAGCCAAAAAA